TAGCATACGCCAAACAGTTTGCAATATGTTGGAAATATTTTTAGTACTGAGATTTTCAACACATGCATACAAAATTTAAGTAAAAAATAATATACTGACGAAACTGTCTTTTGTGCAATATCTGCCCCAGAAAAGTGTGTGTTTCTAGTTTGTCGTACAAAACAGTTTAACTAAAGGTGTCGATTTTAACAAAAAATATGAAGCGATATTATTTTGGCTAAAATGAGATAACAGGTACTAGTAGAATTATTTCCAGTGTATTTGAATTATTATCGATAGTTGTTGTCCCAGGTCGTGCGTAGCAAATAATTGCATAAACAGGCGATTAAATGGGGTATAAATATAGTTTTATTGATAGGAAAGGTTATGGTACCAACATGATTATATTTTCACGTAATAATATGATCATGACCAAGTAGAATTATCACTGATGATAACTTCTAGGTTACATTATTTCCCCATCTTCAAAAAAGATGGCATTTTCACGGTTACAATCAATAGTTTCCTAGTTGTGAGGTGGTATTTATTTTATATTGCAATGAAGCAGTGGTTTGTAGGATAATAATGCAAAAAATTATAACTTTCTTATAATGCTATTTCTTCAGAGCTAGCATTACGCTAGGTTATACAGGGTGTAACAAGTTTGACTGCCAATACTTTAGCATAATATAGAGTCACCATAAATGAACAAAAAGATGTATATTACAGGGGCGTAAGATTAATAGTTTTCAAAATATAGCGAGTATTAATATTGGGGAGTTTCATCACAACGTGCCAACAGTGCTTAACCTAACGCTACACAGCTGGTGCATACCACGTGTGCACGCGACAGACCTGTCCTATGGAAAAAATGTAAACAACTATTATTGTGAATCATTTCCAGTTTTTAAATAAATAAAATAAAAAGTATGAGTGTCTTAAAACAGGAACTTAACTTTTAATCAAATTATTAATTTGAAGAATATGTAATTAAAGTACCCAAAGATTCACGCCATCCAAATAATCATACGTATAAAAAATAATTTAGGTATTTACCAAAAAGCAAAATTCAGTAATTTTTAAACGCACAAGTACAAAACAAACTACAACATATGCTCAAAATGTCCATCACCGTTTTCATGCACGCACGACACCTTTTCCAATTTTCGCTGGAAAACAACTCAAGAAAATGAAACAGCGGTACGCAAAAAACACTCAGACACGGTCCAGTTCCAGATACCAACTGAACTGCGTATTGCTTGGCAGCTTAGTACCTCGTGTTATCCGCCGCGCCTTTGTCACATTGCTCGATATGAGTTTTATCGAATTTTAAATTTATTACAACGCTAATTATTTTTTTAGAATTAGGCATAAAAAAGTTCAAAAAAGTGATAAACATTGTATTTTATGGTATTCTATGCACGCAGTTATGTCAATATTCCTTAATTAATCGAACTTTTGTACGATCAAGTTGGAGATTTTGATAATTTTTTTCTCGGAAATGGTTGAGTTTAGGACCCATGTCATATAAGGTCTTTTTTGTTTATTTTAATGTATTCTATCGTCTGCTAAAATTAAGGCAGTCAAACTTCTAAAACCCTGTATACTGCTTGCATGGAGATCGACAAACGTGACGTTTATTCCTAAACCGAGGCGGTCTTCTTACGCCTAGGCAAAGGCATTACCGCCTGACAAGTTTAACGTGATTTCTCCTTAAAACGTTGAAGATAAAGTTGATAGGCATATTAGGGATGGGGTGCTGCGGTAAAATCCTCTACCAATATGCCTACCAGGCAGGCAGATCAGTCAACACAGCCCTTCATAACCTAGTCTCTACTATAGAGAAGACTATGGACAATAAAAAATCAGTTCTAGTCGCTTTTTTAGATATTAAAGGAGCATTTGATAATAACTCTTTGAATCTGTCAATTTGTCAGTTCACAGCAAGGGATTCGATGACACTCATTGAATAGATACCATGTTGAGAAATCGAACAGTAACAGCTACCCTTTCGGAAGAGACAACTGAGTGTAAGGTAAACTGGGGCTGCCCTCAGAGAAACATAGGTACTGTCTTCCTTATGATGGGGATTGGTGGTTAAAATATCTAGAAGTGACACTGGAATGTACACTTGAAAAAAGCAGTAAGTAAAGCAAAGCAAGGGATTGAAGCCAAATATGTCATACTGAATATGGTGGTAAAAAACACAAGATCACAGCGTGGGAAAAACCGAATAAAATCCAGAGGCTGTTCTGTTTGGGTATAACAGGTGCGATGGCATCGACCCCGACAGCTGCGCTAGAAATCATGCTAATTCTACCATTGCTTCATATAGTGGTGGAAAGAGGAAAGTGGTTAGTTGCATACTGACTCAGGAACAGTAACGACTGGAGAGGTAGTCTCTATTCCAGGATTATGGACACATCTATGGGGAACCAACTCTGGAGATGGGATCCGACCAGATGGTTCCAAGGTTTCACTTCCACAAGCTATTTGAGATTGGAATAAGGGATCAAAGCAAATAGGAGGAAAAGTTTGACACCCTGGAAAGATGGAGCCTGGTATGGTTATCGCACGGTTCCAAAATAGCCGGGGGAATGGGTGCAGGAATATATGCATTCAGATCCAGATGGAGTGCAAGCTACAATCTTGGGAGGTACTACTACTTGGCTACTATATTTCAACCAGAAATTTTCGCGGGTTTAGTAGAGAATATACGTAATGGTTATAAACATAGACTCATATATATGTATATTCTCCGACAGTCATGCTGCAATTAAGGCATTAGATACACACAAGGCAACTTTAAAACATGTGTGGGAATGTTTGCAAGTGCTCACTGAACCATCTACCGTTAATACAGCTAGACTGTGTTGAGTGCCAGGACGAGAAAGCGGATGAACCTGCTAGGACGGGATCTGAAACAAAGTTCAATGGTCCGGACACCTTCTATAGCACATCTTCCAGTGTGATCAGGGTGGCAAATGGACCAAGTCAGAACACAGAAAATACTGGGCTCCAAGGCTAGGGCAAAGTTACTGAGCTTGAAAGAAATTCGGCTCAGAAATGTAATGAGACTTATAACTGGACACTGTCACTTTAGGAAAGGAAGCTAAAGCTTGTAGACAGTCCGGTCTGCCGAGGATGCGACTCGGCGGATGAAACCTCTCTGCATATACTTGACGAGTGCCCAGTGCACGTAGTAGAATGACTCTCCTGGGAATTTGCTATCTTCGAACCCAAGGAGCTAAGAGAAAGTTTTTGGACTTTGTAAAAACACAAAACTACTTAGTGAATAGGATTGAGTAGTGGCACGCACAATATACCTGATAAGGCCCTGGTACTTTGGGACTTGATTAGAACCAACCACTACCAGAAGAAGAATAAGGAGAAGGTAATGCTATTTTGTCTATAGAAGAAAATAAACTGTCTGTTTATTTTACTTTGTAATAAAATAAAAAAATATATTATGTGTTCGCTTTCATAGTATTAATTTGCAATTTGTTCATTAACAAGTAAAGTTTGATAGTTTTCTTCTTTTAATAAAGTTCTAAAATAATTTCAACTAAAAAAGTATTTTTCGTAAGTATTGATCGTAATACAAATTGTATGTATTTGTTTAATATCAACAGTTCACTTTAATAAATATTAAAAAACTGTTTTATCTATTTATATCTGCAACTCCTTCAACGGATGGTTTTTATTTAACGCAATGTTGGTTGTCTATGTCCGACGGCCATGTAACATACATTGATGAAAGTTAGATATCAGTCTATTGAACTTTTATCTTAGTTTTTCAGATCAGCTGTTGCCTTTTGACAAACATTTCATTTATCATTTATGCCAATAGTATTGGTACTTTTTAGAACTGTTTTAAACTATTTCGCAGTGATTTAAATTAAAAAGAGAAGATAGGTACTGTAGTTGTAGCGGTACAATTACATTTAGTACCTACTCAATAAAATATATATTTTACTTTCTGGGCATTTACGAGCCATATGAAATTATACTTTGAATTATCCGAGATTGACCTAAATAAATGTATTTAGTAAATAAGTTTAAAATAAGTAGGCTATAAACATAGATTAGTTGTTGTTTATTAGGGTACATAAGCACAAACCGAGTAGGCAACGACCCGGATAAATGTTCCAGTATAGCTTCCTCAGTTTCAACAGTTTGGACATTACGCCTTCTTCCGGCACCCTCACGATTGGGCTGAATTTTAATAGTTCCGCGAAGCCTTCTTTCCACCGAGGCCAATGTTTGTCTATGAGGAATCGGTCGGTTTGGATATCTTTGGTGGTATAATCTTATTGCAGCGTTACTATTTTTTCTGGATTCGAAAAACACTTGGAGCTTGGAGCATGTCGACATATTCGTCATTGGTAGTCCTGTAGCCAGAGGGGTCCCAATTGCCTTTTTCATTTAGATGGAGTTACCCAAGTGTTTTTTATGTATTTTAAGCTGCAGAACACGAATTTTTTGGGTAGAATTTTGCCCGGATGTCGATAAGTTTTTTATTAACAAAAAACTTGCAAAATACTGAGAACTTTGTTTTGGCAAAATAAAAATATGTTCTTTGACCCATTTTAAGAAGAAAATGTCTCTTGCAATTTTTTTGTTAAACGCATAGTTTTAGAGATCAACACCGTTAAAAACTCGAAAAATGCAATTTTTGCGATTTTCAATTGTTAATAACTTTTGATTGAATAGGTATTTTGTAATTCTGATGGCGGCGTTTGAAAGTTCACGTTAAATACTACAAATAATTATGAATAATTGCAGTGTGAACGTTTGTTTTTTCCACTGTTATTTAAAGCTATAAACAAATAGCGATTGAGCGTTCAGAAGGGTGCGCCACCATGTATGTAAGAGAGCGGTTGCCTTCTTACAGGCGTTTAATACACGATCTTGACGCGTAGTCTTCATTTCTAGACCAAAGAAACGATGAAAACTGAACTAAACATTAACAATTTAATGAAAATTGCAATATTACAATAATTAAAAATTTTGTTTCTGCTACTTATGTAAATCTTGAAACTAAATATTTTTTCTTGTTTTGAAATACTAAAAATAAACAGAAATTAAATGGTAATAGTGTAGGTGGAAAATATTTCAACTGGGACTATATGGTTTTAAATTTTCCCAGTGAGAACCAGTTTCTTCAACAAATATCTTTTCACTTTCCTGGCACCTACAAAATACGAATCATCTATGAATTTTACACCTGCTTTTAAGTGAAATCGTTCTGGCATCCTTTCGGCTATGAATCTCTCCAAGTCTTTAGAAGTGACATTCTTAAAGTTGTCTTTTAGTACAATCAACGCCATGGGATGTTCTCCATCTACTTCATCGGGGATACCAATAACCGCTGCCCTTTTGACAGCAGGGTGAGTTAATAGCTCTTCCTCCAAAAAAGCTGGTGGTACGTGCCAACCTTGAAATGTTATCATGTCCTTAATTCTGTCAACAATAAAAAAACACAAATCTTCATCGTAAAACACTTCGTCACCAGTTTTGAACCAACCATCTTCATGGAACTGATCGCTGCTATCCATGTTGTGGTAGCCAGACATAACTATATCGCTTTTTACATGAAGCTCACCAGGTTTATTGGGACCTAAAGCTTCACCAGAATTTAGATCCACTACCTAAAATAATTGAAATTACAAAGATATATGTTCTGTAATAAAATTATTGGAAATAAATGTTGAAAAATTAGGAACCTAGCGAGTTTATTTATTTTAAGATTAGAAATGAAGCAAGGGTCAATAACAAAAAAACATCTGTAAAAATTCAGACATCTCTTGCAAATCATTCTTGAAACATTGGCAATAAATATAAATATAGTTTACCTTAAAGGAATTACCATAACCATTACAGGGTACACCTACACTACCAGGCTTTTTTCTGTTATATTCCCTATGCAAACCGCATTTACTAAACGCAGTAACGGGGCCAATTTCCGTTTGACCATATAGAAGGAAAACATCCACGCTGGGCAATAACTCTTGCAAATTTTGGTGATACTGTTTTGGTAATTTACATCCAGTAAGAATAATTGTTGTTAAGTTTGCCATGTCAAAATTTTTTGGTTTCCCAAAATAATACATTTCCATTATAAAATAAGGAATTAAACAAGCCACATTTACCTAAAAAAGGAGGAAAATATTTTTTAAGTATCTAAAGTTTCTAGATTGCAATGATCGTTTAATTATTACGATGCTATATTGTAGCAGTTACGTCTAACAGGTCGATGATGTCTAAGTTTAAAATAAAATTTTCAGAACATTTCAAGATCAACTTCGAGATAGCTTTCTATATAATTGTGAACAAAAATTTCACTGAATTTCGTTAAATAATTTACTGAGAGAATGTATAATTTTATTAACTGTTTATTATACTAAACGATAAAATAATATTTATCTGCTCCTACTATAGTAGACTATTAATAAATTGTTTTTAAAAAGGTAAGTGGATTTTACCGTAGAAGTGGAAGTTGCTATGGACAACGGGAGGTAAGTGAAGTAGGTAACTTACCCCCCTAGGGAAAAAGGCAATGTCGGGTTATATATGCATATTTTATGAATGAATATTCATAGTAGTTGTACAATTATTACATTTAGTAACATTTATAAAATCTGGATAATTATTCCTTTCGCGTTTACTAATTGTCACATTTTTCTCAAAATGATTTCTTTCATTTCAGTCACCGGGGGCTAATATTAACCGACTAATCCATTAAAACAGCATGATATGACGTACTACTAAAACCTGGAATTGAAGGGTCATTGTAAAGAATCCTGTTGGCTATTTCATTTTTGTTACTTAAACTGTCAGCAACATAACTCTGCAATTGTGGCTTATTTCTACCCACCAAGTCTCTTGATTGCTAATACATTAACTTTCGTATAAGCCAGTAACGTTGCCGATATTCTTCGGAATGTATGGCCTGTATATGCTTTAGGATGTTCTAGTTTAAAAAACTGTGCAATCTTATTAGGAATCATCTACCTGCATGATAGCGCATAAAAAAGCGTGAAATTTTAGTTTCGATTTCCAATCTTTATCGATTTAATCTTGATATATTTCTTGAGAATTTCTAGGTGAGAAACAGAACCCAGACGAGAAGTAATTGCAAATGTACGTGATATACCATTTTTAGAATCTAGAATTGTAACTACAATAATGTCAACGAAATTTTTGAAACTGAGGTTGTCCAAAGTAAGTTTGCACAACTCAACAGAACGGCATGCTCCTGCAATGCCTAAGGCCGTGACTACCTTCATTAGCAAATATATGTTATCGGGTGCCTGAACGAGAGAATCGTTGACTTGTTCTCTTATAAAAACGTTTGACTTTTTAGGTGTATAGCCGTCATTCTTATGTTTCAAAAATGCTCCCAGCTTGGGGTATTTTGATATATCCACGTTCTCCTCTGTGAAAATAGTTGACTTAATCATTGACTATTCACTCCACAAACTCGCCGGTGACTTTAAAGTTGGTGACTTCTCCATGAAATATGCTAGCAGTGATATTTCAGAAACGCCAGTATTTTTGTTCTGGCATCATTCTTTGAAATTTCTGTATGCTCGTCCGTAGCGCACTTTCGACTTCTCGGGCAATAAAAATTCGCATGCAGCATTTGCTGCACCTCACTCATCACTCATCAATCACTCATTTCGAAATAATAATAATTCAAAACCAGCAAAATTACAACTTTTATGTAGCTTTGTTTATAAACACCTTAGAAACGACAAAATCCAAACAACCAAGGCAACTTTGCAAACTTTTGTCAAAATTATTTTATAAAAATAGATAGATAAGAAATGTCAAAAAATCCATAAAACTTAATAGTTATTTTATGAACCATAAAGAACTGTGGGAGCAGATAAAATGTTATACACCACGCAGCAGTTAAGTATAATTTACCAGTCTCGGACTCTATTACCAGACTTCGCTACGCTCGGGCGCAAAATCGTCCTCGACTGGTAAATAATACTTATCTCCTTTATGGCGTAAATAACTATTTTAAAACTGACATTTAAATGTACTATTTTCTACCCTTGGTGTTAAAGTATTACTCTATCTATTCTCGCAGCTAAAATGCTACTTGATATGTCGATTTGAGTGTACACAGCATACTTGAATTTGCTATAAAAATTAATAACATATTCAGTTTATACGTCGACACCAATACGTACTTTGAACTTTTCTAGTAAATTCCAAGTCCTCTCTGCCTCGAACGGTTCAGGATCGATCAAGCGGCAAATTCCATCTCGAACTGAACATAGCAGGCGTACTGTTTCTATGCTCCAGTGGAAAGAGTCGTAACTGAATACTATTTTCGCTTGATCCGTTAGCCAAAGACGATCGTCGTTAATTATATTAGCACGTAGTAAGGCATAATGGCTTAGGCGTATTCCCTTCGGTAAACCTGTACTCCCGCTGCTAAAAGGAATCATTGCCGTTTCCTTTAAATCATTCACGTATATTGGTAGGAATTCTCTTTCATTTTCTTGTGGTTCATAAAATCCCTGATCGAAAACTAATATTTCGGTATTAACATGAATAACTTCTGTGTTAATAAGTTCTTTAACAGTTTCCAGCATTTCAGAAGTTGTTAGAATTAGTTTCGGATTTATTTGCTTGAGTATGTGAACAACCTCAAGTGAGGTCAATGCATCTTCCAAAAAAGTTGGAACAGCTCCAACAAAGAAGCACGATATTAACGGAACGCTTGCGTATAATTGGATCTTAGAATATATCGCTACCATGTCTCCTCTCTTTATACCCATATTTTGTAAGATTATACTTGTTCTTACGCACTTTTTTTAACAATAATTCATAAGTTTCTTCTTGTCCTGTAGATGCATCAATCTGAAATGTACAATTACATCAACTAAATCATACACGTATATTATTATTATAAATACGTTTAGTAAAAGTATGTGAAGACCCCAGGAGGTTGTTACTTAATACATTAAGGATTTAAAGCCAATATTTCGGAAGAACAGTTTAATTTATGACATATCCAGATTAATAAAACTTGACGCAGTGATTTTATTAGTTACAAGTAGAATTTCTCTAAATTAGGGTACAAAAATGTAAACAATTGTTAGAAATATCTGAAGTTAACGCCATTTTTCTTTGGGTAAAAATCATTATTTCCTGAACGGCATAAATTTTGGAAGTAAGTTATTCCATTTTATAGTCTTTATACAAAAGTGTCGTACAATATTACTGGCATCAGAAAAAAAAATTGGCCGTGAATAGAAAATATTGTCTATCATTTTTGCAATTTGGAAAATCCATTTAACACTACTATAGTACTATACAGGGTGTCCGGCAAGTCGTTACAATAATTTTAGGAGGTGATAGAATACATGATTTCGAGTCGATTAAAACAAACATATCTATATAGCAAGTGTTACAATACTTGTGATTAATAGTTTTTTAATATTTTTTAATTTAACCGCGCTTTTCTACAATTATTGAAGTGTAGAAGAAAAACAAACCTTTCTATAACAAAACTTTCTATACCTTTTTTAATGGAAATAAATGGATTATTTAATTTATTTAACCAATATAATCCAAAGTGGCTTCGTTACCTACCTAGAACTTCATAAACATGGTATTTCTACTTTGTAAAAGCGAAAAAAAGGAAAAGAAATGTTTCTATTAAATGGCTCGGTAGGCCATGATAAAACAATTGTCCTTAGTTTCCATAGCAACCGTAAATGTAGATTAACTGTCAAACTATACGTTCGAATCTCAGTTAAAGTGTAAGTACTATTCTTAGACGTTTATTAAAAACCTTTGATAATGACATCATTTTCAAATGCGGAGTATGCCGATGTTCTATTTATGTATGGAAGGGCTGATGGAAATGCTGCTGCTGCTCGTAGACTCTACCAAGACAGATTTCCTGAAAGAAGGCTTCCTAATATTCGAGTCTTCATGTACACATATCGTCGAATAAGTGAACATGGAAGTGTCACAATAAGTGAACACCACAGGCATTTCCTTGAAATTGACGAACAGGTATTGGACGCAATTGCAAAACATCATACATTAAGTATAAGGCAAGTCACCCGTCAGTTGAATTTATCTAAATGGAAAGTTTGGTCGGTATTAAGAAGCGAAAATAAATATCCATTTCATTATACACCCGTGCAGGGTTTAGAGGAAGGTGATCCTGCGCGAAGAATGAATTTTTTCGTTGTATCTTAAATGCTGATATGGAGGAGATACTTTTTTAAAAAACATATGAGTAATGAGTTCAAATTTTCTAGAGAGGGATTTACCAATTTCCACAATCTCCATTATTGGAGTAACATTGGAGAAAATCCTCATTTAAAACGAGAGACCAATTTTCAAAGAAAATTTAGCGTGAATGTTTGGGCAGCTGTTATAGGCAGAACGTTAATTGGACCGTATTACTTACCAGACCATTTAAATGGAGACAATTATTTGCATTTCTTAAGAACAACTCTTCCTGATATTTTAAACGAGATTCCGTTAAATGTTAGAAATAATATCATATTTCAAAATGATGGCTGCCCAGCACATTGTCGAATTACCGTAAGGGAGTTTCTAGATGAACAGTTTTCCAATCGTTGGATTGGGAGAAATGGACCAATTTTATGGCCCGCGAGATCTCCTGACTTAACTCCCCTCGATTATTATGTGTGGGAGACGAGCAAAGGAATTAGTCTATGCAGTACCAATTTTTACTCGGGAACAATTAATCGAAAAAATCAACGCTGCATTTACACAAATGAAACAAGAGATTTTATTAGGAGTTACTACAACTGAGATGAGAAGAAGAGCACGGCACTGTATTAGAAATAGAGGGTCACATTTTGAAAATGAAAGATAATTACAGTACTTATTATCTACATTAGACTTTTTTTCATTGTTTATAATCGTAAAATTAATAGGTACTCATAAATATTTCCTTTTTGCACTTTGAATTAGCTTTTAAGATTTGAGCAATTGAAATAAATATTTAGCTTTTTAAATCCTCCGGTATTTTAATAACTTCGATATTTTGTAAAGAGTTGCGTTCTTGTTAAATTAATTATCACAAATATTGTAACACTTGGTATATAGGTGTGTTTGTTTTAATCGACTTGAAATAACGTATTCTATCACCACCTAAAATTATTGTAACGACTTGCCGGACACCCTGTATATTTTCAATTTTATTACTGTGGATGCGGTCTATTTTTAATTTCAGGGTTTTCCATAATTAGTAGGGTTTTCCAAAGCATTTTCACTACATTATGAAATTATATATTCCTGTACGGTATTTACCCCATAACATGAACACCATCAAATGATAATAAAAAATTATATCGCCGTATATTTTTGGTGGAACATTCATCGAATGCTATAAAAAATATTTAAATAATTTAAAATTTAAATTTTACTATACTCAATAATTAACAATTCCTGTACGGCATTAATTGCAGATTATGAAGGGAGTTAAGTAATGATGAAAAATTATATTGCCGTTATATTTGCATGGAATATACAAATAATATAGGTATGCATAAATTGTATAAACAATAAAATCAAAAGATTCGTAAATTCCAAGTAGGTAGACCAATAAAGATGTAAAATTAAATTATGTTAATCAATATATCTGTACCTCAGAGCTAAACTGTATTAACTCCATTTTTTACGAAAATGGGATTATTTCACAGCCCAACACAGTTTCTTATGCTCTTTCACGTGCTAAATAGTAATAACTCCCACTGATGATACTTTCGAAGATAGACAGTGCTAAATAATAATAAGTCCCAACCTGTCTCCAAGCTAGACAATCGTATGTGTATTTAATATTAACCGTGTTTCATTACTACAGTATTAATTTCCTCGTTACATCAATTTAGTCCGAGCCAAACAGGTGTATATGGAGTTAATATTCTATTAGTTTGACTTCGGAGTATTAACTCCACAAATATCAAGATCATGTTGGTTTACTTTAGTATTATCTCCACATTCATCGTGTGTAGACGTGTTTTTGCAGTGTTGGTGATAACTGGTAAATTATTAGTTATTGAAAAAGTGACTCATGACATGTAAAGGCGACATTTCTGTTTAAAGAATAATAATTACATTTGTTTCTGTTTTTTCTATCCAGTTTATTAAAAATCAAAAGTGTTGTTGGTTTATTTAAACTTTAGTTTTTTTATGAATATTATCTGATGTTTATATTAAAATAGACGTATAACTTCACATCATACTAATTTTTTTTATCAAGGAGAAGTGAGAGTTCGAAGTTATGGAATGATAAGCAAAATTTAAATCTTTAAATCGCTCTCCTGTAAAATTTCATTTTTGGCACTTGATACAGTTTAGCTCTGAGATACAGATATGTTTTAGAATTTATCTTTTTCAATGCAAAAAATTTATAATAATTACCAAAAAATTGAACTGATATTTGAAAGAAAAAATTATTTTTAGAAAATTGTTTTATAAAATAGACTACTAAAATAATGAAATGAAAAGTTATGATATTTGATATATGATATTTTATTTTATTTGTTGTATTGGATTCAAAATATATACGCATAATTGAAAAATAAATAAATAAATTTTGTCAAAACAAACAAATTGAATTGTAGATGTGCATACACATATTAAAAGCTTTGGCATGGAAAAAATAAATTGCAGTTATATGCAAACGTTTTTTTGGAACTATGAGGCCTTTTTTCCCTTTAGTGCCACGATATTTATACGGCAATATTTTCTAAATAGTTAATTTTTAATGAATTCGAAAAGGGCACAAATGCCGTACAGGAACTTTTCACTAAAATATCCACCCCTTGAGCGGAAAATTAATTTCCCTACTGTGACCTCATGTGTCATAAAAAATGTACGGCATAATGACTTGAGGTATAGTTTTATATAGCGCTTTCTAAATTTTTTAATTTTAGGGTGCCTCTAATAATTTTCCTTATTCTACGTAAAAGGTTAGGGTTGAGCAAGGGTTAAAAGCCCTCAGAGCCAGTGCATTCGTACCGCATAGTAACTTTCAAATAAATTTTTATTTAAAATCAGGCACGCCGTACAGTTTTCTATAATTTTTACATTAGTGAAAATATTTGGAAAATAAAATTTTTTTATTCATTGTCTCCCTCTTCGTATTTCTTCTTAACATAAATTATTCCGGAAAATGTTTTCTTGGTCACGAATATTTAAAAAATATACCTATTAGTCGTCATCGTTAGCGATAATTTTCAAAATATTCGCTTCCTCAGAAAGATTTCGAATACAATTTAACTGATATTATAAGTAAAAGCAGTTCACATTCACATCTATCAAAAATGTGTGGAACATTATCGATATGAGACTTTGATTTTAGAGACAATTAATTAATTAATTTTACTCAATTATTTATTACGGTCCATTGAATATGTAGGCTCAAACTGATTGAAAATTCAAATCATAATTTTCTCTCATTTGTACAAAAAATGCATTACATAGGCAAGATGAAACAAGATTAATCCACTGCCTTTCTATTAGCACTGAAGTGGAGCTTTTCACATCCTTTTGTGTATTTATTTTGTTAAGAAATGGATATATGTATGTACGTAGTTACAAATTTTACAATCTATTAGTACTATGGTACTTACCTCAGCTATCTGATGACTGTGTCTTTTCATTGACTCAAAACAAAAATGTCCAACACCTCCTTCATACATTTGGTCTATAGCTACGTAATCAGTCGTAATTATATTATTCTCAACCTGCATTTTACTTATGTAAATGTTCTTTTCCTAATAAA